GGCCGGCGAGCCGCACTGCGGGCGGTCCCCGCCTCCTCTCCACAGGGGCGGCCGCAGGTGAGTGCGGACCCGAGGTGGTTGCTGTGGCCCCGGCGTCTGGCTCAAGTTCAGCGTTGCGCTGGGGCCGGGGGAGGGGGGTGGCGGGGGACGCGGGGACAGGACGCTCCGAGAACGGGACGTCCGCGAGTCTACGCCGTCGGCGGGGGCCAGAGGGAGCGGCCCGACACCGTGCGCCTTCCCCACCCCGGCGAGTCCCTTGGAGACGAGTGCGCGAGGTCTGTGAGGCGGTGTAGCCACTGGGCAAGACGGGCGTCCGGGGGCGCACACCCGGGGGCGGGTGTGGGGAGGGCGACCCCGCAGCCCCGAACCGCGGCCCCGCCGCCTTTGCGGGTATGCTCTGCCGGAGGAACATTGCCGACCCCTACCCCGTTTTCTATTTCCCAGTGCCTCGGCGCGGGTTGTCCCGAGGTTGCAGGACTTGATTCTGCACCGCCGGGAGGCTGGGGTGACCGTGGTGGTGGCTGCCCAAACTGAGGTCTCCGTTCCCTTGGGCCTTTCGGCGAACCACTGCAGGCGGGGGGACTGGAGGTCAGCGGGAAGCGGGAAGATTGTGCAGGACCTTGCCGGGGAGTTTGCGGGATGGAAAGGGGGCGGGAGCGGACAGTACCCTGTACCCTGCGCTCTGCAGCCGGGCACTCCGCAGCCTCGCGCCTCCGCGCCCCCGCACCCCGCATCCTGCTCCCCGCGCCCTCCGGCCCCTCGGACCCGCCTCACCAGGCGTCTGCCCGGGTCCCCCCGCGCGCGTTGACGTCGGTCGCGGGGCCGCCCGGAGCTCCCGGCATTGGCTGGGAAGTCGATTGTCTCGGGCGGCTGCTATTACTCTTAGGCTGGGTCTCCGAGCCCCGGAGGAAGCAGGCGTGTGTTGAATTTCTCTTTGACCCTCATGGAGGAATAAACAGGAAGCGACGAGCACCCAGCTTGAGCCCGGCACTTGCCTTTGTTGTGGGGTCTGCTCTGTACGGCGGTGAGGAGGCTTCCCCGGGACCCCTGCCCGGTGCGCCGCCTGGCTTGGGGCTGGGGGCGCGCTCTGTAAGTAAGCTGCCGGAAGACAGTGGGTTCAGGTTAATTCGCTATGGTGGCGGAAAAGGCATTTGCTTGTTTTTAAACTTTTTTTTTTTTTTTAATTGGAAAAGGAAGAGACTTCCCAGTGAGGCAGAGATTTTCAGGACGACGACATGGAGGCGTGGTGGGTGGGTGGCACCTGGAAAAGGCGCATCGGATAGTGCCCTGGTTCTCGGGTTAGCTGGCGGGTCACCGCGCCGCGGGTCAGGACGGCGAGAAACTCTTTAAAGCAAGCAGGGCTTCCTCGCTCCCGCCCAGGCGTAGGAATGATTGCTGAGTGGTAGTGGCCACATAAACTAGCTTAATTTTTGTTTTCCCCAAAGAGTCTTTTAATTAGCTGGAACTGGATAATTTTGATTTGCTTCTTTTCTCTTCCTCTGTGTCGCATCTATTCCCTTTTCTTTCTGTCTTCTTCCTAATTATTTTGGCAACTTCTCATCCCTGGACCCCTCACTTATGTTTCAGTGCTGCTTTCTAAATGTTAATTACGATTGTGATAAATATTTATTGATGACCTACTATGTGCTAGGCATTGTGGGGTGTGAGGTGAGATAAGCTGTACAAATGTTGATTCTGAGAGCTACTGTTAGTAAGTCTCTTGCAGTAGCAGTGAGTGGGTAGAGATGGTGAGCAACCTTGGCTCTTAAAAATGTATAGATCCTGTGGCTGGCATGGAGGTTGGTGCCTTCTCTCAGGGCTAGGGCTAGGAAACTTCCCTTTAAAATGGCCCTTTCCGCTTGTTTGGTTAGCCAAGAAAGATATTCTCCCTGGAGCTTCAGGACTGATTACTGAGTTACAGGAAAGGTTCTGTAGAGTCTGCACTGAGAAACTGCCATTGCATCGTCATGTTCTGCATTTTGCATATGAATATTTAGTCTTCTCTAGTATTTATATTGTTTATTGTCATCTGTGCATCTGCAGTAGTACTCTGCACAGTTCTCTTGGAACATATTCTTTATGTTCAGTAAAGGATCATAATGTTAAATTTGAGTCATTACATAGACAAATGAGTAGATCCAAATATTATCCAGGTACATTTACTGAATTATAATTTTGATTTCCTATCAACCCTTGAATGCCATTTGACGGCCCTTGCATAGCCGTGCTTTTTAAAACACGGGGGCAAATTCCTCATGATCTTTGACAGCTTAATTCTTTTAAGAGCTTCACTTTGCTATTGACATTGAACACACTGTTAGAAATTAGGGCTGAGACTGTAAATGCCAGTAAAGGATTTGCTATAATGGAGTTGTAGCTACCTTCCTCCCTTGTTTTAAAAGACTTCTCTAATTTCTCAACATTCTGCTCTTACTCTTGGAAGAGTTCGCCATCGTTGGCCGTGGTTCTAGTTCATATAGGTTTGCATTGATGATGGAGAAGACTTTTCCTGGCAGGATTTTAGGGATGCCTCTTGAATCTTCCTTGGGGCTCCGTTTGCATGACCATAATCCTGCAGAGGAACCCAGCCACTGCTAGCTGCTTATTAAGGGATTTTATGCCAATTTGTTGGCACATCATTTGAGATTCAAAGTCCACCCCTCTCCCCAACCAGAGTATATACATACATAGACAAATATTTATTTTCCCCCAACTGCTGATGGTGTTCTGAGAATAGTTTTCTTGCCTGGCGCGCTGAGAGCAAGGACCCGTCTGTCTGCAGCGGTGTTTACAATTTGGGACTGTGCTGTAGTCTTGGTTGACTTAGCAGCCTGGCAGAGTAGCCTTGCAGCTCATGGGACGCGGTCTGTTTTTTATCTGGGCTGTTGGAGGGGCAACTCCCAGCCTGACTGGTAACGTAGAGAGGTGAGAGTGACTTTTGCTCCCTGAGGATATTTCTGGCCTGCGGTCAAGTAGAGACTGTCTGGGCAGGAGGTGATTGCTCTGTGTCATCATGTAAAACCCAAGTACTCTCAGGGCTTGGGGCAGGAACCCTTGCAGCTGTGACTGGTCAGATCTTTCTGGTAGCCTTGCTATGTTTCTTCTCATCTTTCTTCTGAATCCAGGCCTTTGGAGTCTCTGTGCTGTGTCTGTCCTTTTGGGTGAGAGTTAATAGAGAAGAAAGCAAACTCCAGGAGTCATGGCTATAAAAGACCAGTCTATGTTAACCTGGAAAATTCTTAGAAATGTTTAACATACTGTAACACATGACTATTAAATGTGAACAGTGACAAAATTGCTATGTAGTCCCAAATTGCTCTTTCCTCCCTTCTTCCCCTCTTCCCATACTCCTTCCATTTCTTCCTCTTTTGGGTCTCAGAAAACTCTCCTGGAAGCTATTATTTTCTGATGTCAAAGTGACTTTCTGCTTACATGGAGTTTGTTAGTTTAGAATTATACCTTGACCTGTATTATGGGTGTGCATGGAAGGTGAATCTTAAGTTTTAAAATAGGAATGTAAAGCTTCTGCCTACCATTTGAAAATATAGGCCACCAGACCCGCCACTTTTTAGGGAGATATTTTTTTGTGGCGTTATTTGTTAGGCAACTAAAGGAAACAGGCGAGCACCTGTACTGTTAATTGCTAGAGGAATATAGGGTTCATATTTCCAGTTAATATTGTTTTTTTCTCTATCATAAGAAGACTTGAAGATAATATTTGTGTTGTCTCATATGCATGTGATTAAGTATGGATTGCTTTTCTTTGAATTCCCATTAAAAATGGTACTCTGGCCTTTTAAGCTGTTTTTGTGAGGACTTTTCTTTCCACCAAGCTTGTTTTCCAGATAGGTCTTGGAAATTACGAAGAACATAGCTATAATTTCTCCCTTGATTGGCAGCTGAGAGCTTTCCCGGACAAAAATAAGGCTGCACTGTGCCAAATGGTTGACTTTTCTAGAATAAAAACTCTAAAGGGTATGCAAAAAGTCCTCTGGTTAATATATTGGCATTCCCAGAACCCACTAAAACTCCGGCAGCCTGCCAGACACCACTTAATGAGGATGCAGAATGTCTGGCTCAAATCCCCATGAGCAGAAGGGGGTGGGGAGCTGATGTCCACACCCTTTATTAATTTTTAATGACTGTACTTTTGTTTTGCAGATTTTGCTCTGTACCCCCCTCACGATTGACCCCCACCATGCCATCCTTCTCTCTCATTCATTTATTTACTCATTTACTTGGCATTGGAAAAATGTGGAGACTCTCAAGGTTAAGAATCCTGCTGAGGGATCATTTCTGTTTGCATGGATTCTTTTGTCGTTGATTTTCTTTCTTTTTATTCCTTTTCTTTCTTTCTTTCTTTTTTTTTTGGAAGAGAAAGAGAGAAAAGGAATAGAAAAGGAGATGACAGCTTTTTTTTTTATGGTGCTTTATTGTCTGCTGGAAAAGAGAAGCATTTATGAAACTTTAAGTTTGTCAGACAGTTTATATGACAGTGCAAGTTGGTGCTTGCCAAGCTCCAGACAGATTGCTAATGTTACATGACAGGGATAAATAAATTACTGCCGTCTGCAACACGCTTGCACTGCAAACGCACTCTGCAGCCGGCCCGCCGGGCACTACACACCCAGGGAGCCTGTTGGATGTGCAGCTGCTTGGAAGGCCTCTGCCTACTGCCTAGAATTCTGTGACTTGGTTCGGAAATGAAAAGGGTGTGTCTCTTGCTTTTATTTTTGGCAGTGCTGCAGGGCAGCAGAATCCACGTAGCAGCTCTGTGTCCTTGGTTTTGCTGGGTGGCTCTGCCCTCTTGCCCTGCCCCTCACCCCTCCTCCACTCACCCTCCCCTCCCCCCACCACATTCTTCCTTCCTTGGTACCAGAGGACATGACACCTAGTCTTCCTCCCAGGGACCTGCTTCTGATGAAACTAAACTTTGTTCTTAGCTGCTCAGGCCCTAAGTTTTCTCAAAGCCAAGTTTCAAGCTGTTTATGGTTGCGTTCTTTCTGCAGGTGCAGACATTGAGAACAAATTGTCTGAGATAAGTGTGTGTGCTGCCCTGGGAGGGGGCTGGGTGGCACTCCTTGGGCATAATGTACTTTCATCTCTGGCAATTTGGATAGTCAGCTGGCAGAGTGACAGGTGTAATGAACTTAATGGTCTTGCTCTAGTTGTTAGTGGACACACTGCTCATATTACAAAGCCACCTCCTAAGTTGGGCCCCTGCCAAACGACTTGCTTTTCTCTTTGCAGACAGGATTCAGAGCCTGGACTACTC